GGGGTGAAGAGGGTAGGGGTGTTGATGGTGGGAGGCAAGGGGAGGGAGGTTTCTGGCTACGGAACCAACAGTTATGGGGGAGAGGGGTGGGTTTCTGACTGTTTCAGTCATGTCTGTTTCTTCCTGTCATCCGTCTTGCAAATCAGATACATGACTATTTAAAACATGGCGGTTAGGAGGAAGCTAGGAGGAGGCTGTGATTCCCACTCCTACCCGCATGCACCGTTCGGTCTATGTATACAGCTAAGGGATGAAACACAGAGAGACTGCGTCATAAAATATCTTCATGCACATGACATTCAATAGTGAAATCCTTCTATTCTTCTATTTCAGAACTAGCCGTTGTAAGGGCTTTTGCTTTGTGGCGATTCAACGGGGGTTATGACGGTGAGGATTGCGCGGTGCAGCTGAATTTTATCACCGTTATTTCCAGGGATGAAAGCAGCCACATCGGCACCGTCACGTGGTTCGAAGCTGTCAGCGGAATTGACGCAACTGGATACCGAAATTGGCAGCATCGAGGCCGAAATTCGTTCTTTGAAACGACGAAAACAAGCGCTACTGGAACGAAAAGCTCAAGTAAAACAGCGGTTGTTTTTTCTTTTTCCAATTGTTTAAGAGTTTTCCTTTTTTCTCAGTTTTCCTTGAATTAAAATTTTTATTCTGCCTTCACATTTTCACTCATTTTACAGCTAAGGGATGAAACACAGACTGCATCCAAAGCAGGTATTCTCTTTCATGTGAAAACATGGACTGATCTTTGATCTCCTATTCTATTATTCCATTCAGTAGAGCCCGTAAAACATTGGTGCGAGATAGAATGTTTCGCTGAATTAGCCAGTTTTGAAAATTTTCCACAAATTTTAAGTATAATTCCTTTCTACATCTTTTTGGCAATAAAAATTTGACTCATCCAAACATCTCTTTATGTGTTTTTGCATATATGCAAGTTGCAAAAACGCATATTGTGACGACCCCGGTGTGTGTATGCATGTGTTGTGTTGTGTGTGTGTGTGTGTGCATGCGTGCGTCTCTCCAGGTATTTCGAT